AGCAGTGACGACAACCGTGTGTGCTGCTGACTTCTGATATTACACTGACACCATGCGATCAAATGTCTCGCTGTAGAAACTTTTACTAGATTTCATCAAATCAGAGAAATAAGAAACCGTTCTGTAGCTGACTGCAAATCTGTGACTGAACGAAGTGTCTTTGCGGGAAAAATGAAAATGTTGTCTCCTTCTCAGTCAACAGGGAAACTCCAAATTCCTTTAAAAAAACAATAGAAAAAGCACTGCCTCCATCAATATTTTGAGTTACTTGTATAACATCTTAGGGACTTGCCATGGAGGCTCACGCTTTTCATTACGATGTACTTGATATCATTGGATCACTAATAAATACCACGTCACCTCTGGCACCTTCCGCGCCTCGTGTTCAGGCATTGTAAGGTTTTTCGTAATTCACAGACTGACTGTAGACTTTTCCAGATTGTAAGCCGCCAACTTCCAGCTCTTTCCATCAACTCCTACGACAGCAAGCGGGTATATCTCGTGGATGGATGAATGGTCTGGGTATAAAACCTAATTTCTCTATCGAAAAGCAGTTTATTTTCATTTGCCTGAAGCATTTGTCTTGCCATCAATGACAAATGTAAATACAGCGTCAACAAGCAAATAATTCCCATTTTTGTTATACTGACAGCATGCGCTGTCTGCAAATAATCACAAACAAGGTGCACGTTATTAGTGGAGTCTTATATTGTGTGTCAATTATAGTTTTTTTTCGTATTTATCTCGAAACTGAACTTTAAAAACTAACAAATGAACGGATAATAATGAGGAGTTGCTCACTCTGAACGGAAGACCTCCCTCCGATAAACAAAAATTGAAGATGAGTCCACCCAACACATAGCAATATTAAATGTGTAGTTCATATTATCAAACAATATGAGTTTCAGGACTGAGATTACTTTCTGTGGTTTGTTATCTTGTTTTCGACTTGAAACACGCCAGGAAATGTGAGACAACTCAGCCCAGCACCATGGATAGCTCCTGCATCGACTTTCTAACCAGCGACAAGTGGTGATGATGTTCCATTTCAAGGTTGTCGGTAATACACCATCAGTATCTGCCCATTTAACTTATTCCACGTTTCATTTCTTGCCTATGGCTGGACTGAGAATTGTCTTGCTGCTTGGAAGAATAATGCTGCTCATCTTATAAAGCTTGAGAAAATATAGTTACACAGTCACTCACAGCTGCATTCCTTTAAAGTTGTTCAAGTGTAAAAATCAAAGCAAAATATACAATTGTGAAAGGACTGACAATCTTGTCAGTGTGTTTTGCTGTTTATGTCAAACCAAATTCTTGGTGATATCCTCTGTTAAATTAATGCTGGGCTCGATGTGATAGTTGTAAACATACTGGTTTCCACAAACCACTCCAGATGCTTGAATTTTAATATAGTTCTTTGAAAAAAGACAAAAAAGTGAAGTTGGTTAATTTGTCTTACCTC